TTCTTTCTTTCCCTAAAGGTAATTGCAGGACATGTATCCTTGGATGCAGGGATCACCATGGGAATTAGGGTATTTAACAAATCATACACTAAACAGCTGACTCCTGTGGATGCTTGAATAAAACGGGCAGAGCACAGCTGTCACCCGTCATACGCCTCTTCGAACACTATCCTTCATTACAGGCACATTTGGACCTTCTCCTATCAAGCGCCAAGCACAGAGCATCGCTTTTACCTGGAAAGAGATCGCTTGAGCTCCCATCCCCTCAGAATCACTCATTTGTGATTATCTGTGCTGTGCATCATGAGAATGTTAAGAAAAGCCCTGCTGGATAAGGCCGAAGACTCTTTCAATTGAACATCCTATTTTCGAAGAGGCCAACCGGATTGGCCCATAAGCATCTCACAAGGAGAGCGTGAGAACAGAGTCTCACAGAAGTGAGGGAGTGGAGACGGAAGTAGGAAAGGATGACCTCATCCTCATCCCGAGTTTTACAAGACACTGTCTAATCGTCACGAGGCAGAAGAAAAAGTGCAGCAGCAGCCAAACTCCTTGCCCCCTGACACCATAAAACCCCATGTAAATGATTAAGCGGAACAAAAACACTAGTAGATCACCTGGCTCAAGAAGTTTCATTTCAGAATAAGACAACAAAACTCCATGTTTGCTGCATTAGTGCCTGTTACAGGTCTGTCCCTTCTCCCACTTCTCCAGTCAGTCAGTCAGAGCTCTTCTTGTCCTTCGTCCCCTGTGATGTTTTCCCACATTTTTTCTCTCATTAGCCCGTCTTTCCCTCAACTTCCTGAATAACCGATGCCTTTTAATACTGTATATACTGATGTCAGTTACCAGTTAATGTGAACAAGCGGTACTATTAATAGAGATATCTAGGCTGCTTTTCATTCCGGCCCCTCAGGAAGGCCTTTAAGAACAACAGAACAAAATGCACCGGGCAAATTCTAAGGCTGAAGAAAAGAAAAATATCCACATTTTTTTCAGCAACTTAGGACATCATCTCCTTTGTTTGTGGGTTCATTATGGATGCTTCCTAGTTTTTGCATCTCAAAAAATTCATTTTAAACTGAATTTAATGTTGTATTTTTAAATTATTGCAACCCAGTCTGGGACCTTATGGTGAAGGTAAGAAATTGAAATAATAATAGTAGCAGCAAGTGTTAATCATTAATAAATTACTACTACTGATGATGATGAGCTACCTTTGCCTTAAGAAATATAGTAATAATAATAGTAATAATAATGGGCTTCCTTTGTCTTAGCTACTCAGTTTCCTGGATCTCTTTTCACAGCTTTCCACCCCTGACCCACCCTCTCTTGATCATACTACCCTCAAGCCTGTGTAAGGGGTTTTTCCTTTGGCCCTAAATGTACATACCAACTTTTATTTTCTTTAGTTTTCAAGGGAAATAATCCAATTTCTTACACTGCTTGGAAATAAGTGGCTGGGCCTGGCCCATATTCGTACATGAAACACAGGACTATTTCCTGCAAGTTGCAAGTTTCATGGCTCCACCGTAAAGTTTAAGGGAGATATTGCACTACAAGCAAACACAAAACATCAGTTGTGTAAAACCAAAGGCTTCCCCTTCGCTCCAAGCTTGGCCAATAATATATGCTTTTATTTGAGCAAAGACGAGAATGATCTTGTGTATGAAAGGATACAGCTCATTAATAGAAAATCTCTATCCTCTGATGGCTGGTGTCAAGGCTTCCCTGCTCTTTTGCTGGTGTTTTGTGTGTGAAGCTATTCCCATGACTTTGCTAGGTCAGCAGTTAAACGTAATACCCTTTGAAAATTGCTGTGTGCTTAGAGAGAAGGAACAACAAGGTGCTGAAGGTGAAACTGATTAGGTTTTCATTTGTGTAATTCTAGTAGCAATGCTTCTTCATGGTCTTGCATATTTTGCAAGGTAAAATTCAAGCAAGACATGTGGTTTTTTTAATAAACCACCCAAAACCACCCACCTCCCAAAACCACACTATTCGTAGCCATGATCTTTAAAAAAGAAAATTAAGCAGTGCAATGTGAGAGAAATTTGGGTAGGAGAAACCGCCTCATCTAGGAGTAATAAAATGAGAGGATCTCATATAAAACAGCTCTTAGAAGACATAAAAATAATAAAGCTATGAATGGATGGGATTGCATTTAGAAGACAATATTAGCCAACATTTCCCACCCCTCCTCTCAAAATACATGAATTCAAGGATGAGACTAAGATCATTATATCCCAAGACTCGTAGCATACCCAAGGATTTTAAAATGCTAACATATCTAACTAAATAACAAGTGCTATTAGCTTTCCTTTCCACAGTATAAATATTTGCTTTAGACAGTTACAAATGAGCAACTCTGCTTCAAGAAAGTAAACAAGCATATCACTCAAACCCAAAAAGAGATTTCACTCCCCGTGCCTTTTCTCTTTTTTTAAAAAAGACAACAGCGATGCAGCAGAAAAGCAGCAAAATCAATTTTGTTGCTTACTGTCTCCCCTGATGCCTTTTCCAAGGTATTTTTAGTTGTTCTGATTAAAAATTTACTTCCTACGTACCACTGACAGCACAGTTCATTTCTGGATTAGAGTTTTATGTATTTCTTCCTAGCTCCTTCTGTATCTCTCTTTACCTAACCTTGCAAAAAGAAGTATTCCTGCTGTCAAGCCTCGCAATGCAAGGCCCAGTTTCCTGTGCTAGATAAAGGAAATCTCAAAAATAAAGATATTCTGCTTTATCGTGTGTAACAAAAAGAGACTGGAATATGTCTCTAAGAAGGTGGCACACTCTCCTTTGTTAGAGACCTATCAGGAATGTTAGTGTATTGGATTGCCTACATCAGCAAGAGTTTGACTACATGACCCCAGAAATCCCTTCCGACTCTGCTTGAAGGGAGGCCTTGAGGTGAAGTTGTGATACCATGTTACCTTTTATTTCATGTGATAATTTTTATATCTAACTTAGAGCCAAGTATCTTTGAGCTAGTGCATTCACATGAATAAATCTGGAAGTTCAAGAGGCAAACGACACATCACATACTGAGATGCATAACAAAGCTCCGATATTTCGTTTGTTTTTTTAAATGAAAGGCAGCTCGCTTGGAGTGGAAACAAGAGGAAAGAGTTGCCTGAGACTTCCCCCCATCCGCAACCTAAGTTTCTCACACTCATAACACTTCAGTTCCTGTTCCCTCACTCATAAATGCCCCCCTCCCCAAGCTGCTCTTTATTTATTTTTAAATAAAAAATACAGTTTCATTGCAAACTAGTACTGTACTTCACCTCTGAGGTTCAAAGCACAGATCAGCCATGTAACCCACAATTCATTCTCTCTCATCCTAAGCCGCCGAGTGGCCACCGAGACCACATAACACCGGTCCAGGCACCCATTGGCTCCCAGTATGTTTCTGAGCACAATTCAAAGTGTTGGTGCTGACCTTTAAAGCCCTAAACGGCCTTGGCCCAGAATACCTGAAGGAGCATCTCCACCCCCATCATCCAGCCTGGACACGGAGATCCAGGACCTTCTGGCGGTTCCCTCGCTGCAAGAAGTGAGTTTACAGGGAACAAGGCAGAGGGCCTTTTCGGTAGTGGCACCTGCCCTGTGGAACACCCTCCCAGCAGATGTCAAGGCAATAAACAACTATTTTACTTTTAAAAAACACCTGACGGCAGCCCTGTTTAGGGAAGTTTTTAATGTCTGATGCTGTATAGTTTTTGATATTTGGTTGGAGGCCACCCAGGGTGGCTGGGGAGACCCAGTCAGATGGGTGGGGTATGTATGTATGTATGTATGTATGTATGTATGTATAAATAAATAAATATCATCATCATCATCATCATCATCATCATTATTATAAGCAACTACACAAGGTTGTTGTAAGAGGGATAAAGGGAGGCATGGACATACAGTGGTACCTCGAGTTACAAACGCCTCAGGTTACAAACTCTGCTAACCTGGAAGAGTTACCTTGAGTTGAGAACTTTGCCCCAGGATCAGAACGGAAATTATGTGCTGGCAGCGCAATGGCAGCAAGAGGCCCCATTAGTGAAAGCACGTCTCTAGTTAAGAACAGTTTCAGGTTAAGAACAGACCTCCTGAACAAATTAAGTTCGTAACTAGAGGTACCACTGTATTTAGAAACTGGCAGCTTGAAGCTGAGACCCCTCTGAGGAGGCTGCTTTGCAATGGTGGCGTGTGAGCCAAGCCATTTACTTGCCTATACTGCCTCACAACTGTGAATGAGGTGGTTTTCTCCATCCTATTATGGACTTGTTTTTTGCGTTTAACTGGAGAAGACTAATTTCAACATACAGTGGTACCTCAGGTTAAGAACTTAATTCGTTCTGGAGGTCCGTTCTTAACCTGAAACTGTTCTTAACCTGAGGAACCACTTTAGCTAATGGGGCCTCCCACTGCCGCTGTGCCACTGCCGCGTGATTTCTGTTCTCATCCTGAAGCAAAGTTCTTAACCCGAGGTACTATTTCTGGGTTAGCGGAGTCTGTAACCTGAAGCGTCTGTAGCCTGAAGCGTCTGTAACCCGAGGTACACAGAAAAGACTGCCACATGGAAAAAGGTCGCTGTGGAAAGCAATTTAAATCAGCCCCATCTGACAGACATACACTCTCTGTTGACCTTCAGATCCACAGTTTACATGCACAGGGTCCACTTTCATTATAACGTTTCATAGAAGGTTCTGTTGTGCCAAACTCCAGATATTCCTTCATGGAAACCTCACAATTTCTTCCTAGTCCTTGGGCATTTTCTCTTTGCCTCTCTGCCCCGAACCTATTCCCCTGAATCTTATTTTCCTTTTTTCCTGTCCTTGTTACTTGAACATCTTAACTCAAGTCCATTAATACCAATACATTTCCTGCTCAACCAATGCTACGTTTGAACACTATATGCTTTTGGCAAATCTGTAAGTTTTTACAGGCGCTTTTCATCATAAATATCAAACTGGGGGGGGGGGTATATATGTCCAACTTACTTTGGATGTGTATATTCATCTATGAGGTGAACTTTTTCCACCACATCTCCTCCAATGGTTCGAACTAAATCATAGAAGTCATTTTCGGAGTATTTTTCAGAGGGCAGCCAGAAAGAGATATCGTTGATCACAGGAGGATATTTGCTGAGAGGCTAAAAAGCAACAACAAAAAGGTAATATTGCAGTTATGAAACAGCACTGAAGTGAGTTTTCCAATGGTGTAATACCGTTAATTGATTTCACATTCTATGGTAATTGTATGGAGGACAATTTCTCAAACAGTATATAAGGACATGAGCAGACCAGTACAATTACAGAGCATTTTCTACAAAAACAGAAAAAATAGCTCTTTACTCACAGGTACTTTTTCACCCAGCTCTGCCACAACTCAAGTCAGCTCATGTGTCCTTACGTACTGTTTGAGAGAAAGTCCTCCATAAATATTTGCTATGGTCATGGCAGGCAGCCATGGGTGCGAATGTGTGTTTCAATGACTCTTAAGTTTAATATGCATTTTAAGGTCTTTGTGTGATAGGTGCCGAAATGGAAATCTACGGGCACTCTCTGAAGAGAATGTATATCACCTCACTGAAAATTATGCAGAGTTCACCGGCGGCATTAAAAACAGATGAACCTCTAGACATGAAAATTTAATGGGCAGATCAGTCATCCACACAATTTTTCCGAAAAACAGAATATATCTACACACAGAGGCACTCTCTTGTGTGAACTCTTTTGCAAGTGCACATGTGAGCTCTCAGCGTCATTACTGGAAATGGCGTAGAATCACACCCTTCGGCCAGGTTACAAAAAAAGAGCTTTGCCTCTTGATTTTACTGGAGAGGCCATCTGCTGCTGAAGAGACTAGCTTGCATTTAGATGGCACAGGGGCTTGTCTCTTTGACAGAAGGAAAGGAAATGCTTCAGTGAAACCAGAAAGCAAAGCTCAGGCTGAGCACATAGCTCTCTCCCATGACACTTTTCTCTTCATGCCAGGTCCCCCACAAACCACAATTCAATTATATATTTATTTGTTTATTTAAAAATACCTATAACCCTCCCTACATCTATAGATACAAGGACAGGGTGCAAAACATAAAGCAAACAACTATGCAACAAGCAACTGTAAAACAATAAAAACAAATAAAGGGAGCTAAGACAACAAAACAACTTTCCTCCAGGCTTAAAATACAGAAGGGGTTTTGCCAAACATTTTTTTACGGATTTTGCAATAATATAAGTAAATAAACATGGTAACTTTCATACAAATAAATAATGTGAACATGCCCCCTCTCCTCTTGCTAGAAGCTTAGTAAGTATTCAGATTCAGATTCTGGGTTTTTTTATCTTCACTTATGTTTGCTTACTATATATTTTTGTAGTTGCTTCAACAGGGATCTTATATGTTGTATCACCAGAGTCTTTGGCACCCAAAGGAGAAAGGACACACATGAGCATAGCTTTGACAAAGGGAAAGCAATTAGGAAGTCAAGGTCCACACTGATGCAGCCAACATATGTTAATGTGTCCATTTTGGACACATTAACATATGTAACAAATTGGCATCAACTGGCATAGAAAGCATTTGTTTCCTTCCTCCTTTCGATACTGCTACATAATGGGTTATTTTCTCTGCAAGTGCTGTTCTCCATGTATTCTTAAACCATAGATCTAGCCCTATACCTTGTACATTTAATTAAGTTTGGTTTGGAACACAGAAGTTAAGCAGCATAATAGCTCTGAAACACTGAATTCTTAGTCACCATGTTCCCCTCATAATTCATTTTACACAGAGAATCTGTTGAGTGCTGAACCTTCCCCACCCTCCATTTTTTCCATGCAAGACCGTGTCGTCCTGGTTTTTTAAACTGTTTTATTCTCCAGCAAGGCGGGGAAAATCCAGCAGATACACGAAGGCTAAAACTGGCAAACATTTTTTTTTCTTTTTTGTTCCCTGTAGGTTTTGCATGTTTATTTATTTTTTGTTTAAATAATACAGAAAAAAACAAAACAACAAAAAAGAAATAAAAAAGATTGAAAACAATCCAAAAACATTGAAAACTAATATTACATCATATAATACTCTCCACCACCACCCACAGCTTCCCTCCGCTACAATTCGACTTCTTTGAATCTCTATTTCCACCTTTATCTCTGCATTCTCCAAATGTATCATCCTTTAAATTTCTTTTATCTCTTCTCTTTTCCAATTCATAGATATACTTTACATTTTTACTCTAGGCATATTAGCATATCTTTCTTAGAACAATAATTTAACATATAATCTTCGAAACATTTCCATTCCTTTTTAAAAAAAATTATTTGACTGATATCTTATGATTGAGGTTAGCTTTGCCAGTTCTAAATATTCATTTGATTTGCAAATCTACTCCTCTTTTGAGGGCAAGATTTGAGATTTCCATTTAGAAGCAATCACTACCCTGGCAAAACTGGCAAACATTTTCTGTTCCTCCACCACTCCTACCCTGCAAATGTTTCAGCCCAAACGAGAAATTACATTAAGACATGGCTGCTGGCGCAACCTGAAGTTTTGCCCTTAAAATGCACTGCCAAATTATCCTCAGGCGCATCAAGCGTATACAGATTTCCTTACTTTTTTTTCCCCCCGCCCACAGCAGCTGATGTGCTGTCCTGATTAATACAATATATTATCTCAATAAGAAAATTGTATTTTACGCCTGGAAAATGCTTTATGACAGAATAGTGAAATCCTAAGTGAATACCTGATAAAGCAATAAACCTGTAAGAAGGGCAAATTTACGGCGCAGTGATTAATACAGATCTGGCTGCACATGACGCAAACACTTTAATGAATATCTGATAAGGAATACTGTGAGAGTTTTAAATTAACAGCCCCACAGCGATCCCAATTGTGAATCACAAATGATTATCCAACTTGTTACATGAATAAACTTGTCAAACAAATTCATCGCCTGTATAGCAATTTCGAAATTCAACTCTCGATAAAGCCATCACACCAGTGCTCTTGATGAAATGCCAGTGTCCATGAAAGATGCTTCTCCCGTTAACACCAATGCCACTGTTGCATGTTAAAGAGTTTCTACAGATAATGTATGGCCACAAAGCTCATGTGAACAGGTTGATTTATATTATCAATGCAATAAAGCACTGGCATGATCGAGGTAGTATTTTTATTGCAAAAATAAAAATAAAAATATTTATTCTACTGTACACAATTGTATGCCCCAAGGTATGTATTTCACGTTTACATATATGAGATTTATGAACCACGTGTGTACACACACAGTTTTAATTTCCTCGATGAGTTATTTATAAAATCATTTTTAAGCCCACCTCTTGCTCCCTCCCTCATTCCTATGTGGCCCTAAAGGCGGCTCACAACATGTTAAAAACGTAATACAATTAATTTACTGTAAGCAGCAAAGGAGTCAGGGAAAAGAAGCATATTGGAAAGTCAGTTTTAAAAACTGTGTTAAATTTTAATTAATTTGCTGTTAATTTGTTTTAAAAAATGGGAAACCAATGAAAATTAATTGGACGAAAAAAACCAACCTTAATACAATTAAAGCAAAGCAAAACTTTAAAAGCTAATAAAATATAATTCCAAACAGGAAGTGGTGGGCAAGGACAGGGTGGGAGAAAGAACCTAAAAAGCCAACCAAGAATGGTCAACTGGACCTGTTGCTTCAAGGATTATTTCAGTGTTGCTATCGGGTCTCTTGGTGTGTTTGGTTTTTTGCAGGAGAGGGCGGAGCGGGTAAGAGAAATTCAGTTGGGGAAGTTGAATTTGTAGCACCAGCGTGGGAGTGTGCGATTAACTGCTTCCCCACCCATGAGAGAAAAAGGAAGATGCTTATGAAGTGGTCTGCTGTTGCTGGAATGAACACTTAGATGGGTATATAAAAGTCTCAAATCCTTTATGAGAGAGAGAGAGAGAGAGAGAGAGAGCGAGAGAGAGAGAGAGAGCGAGAGAGAGAGAGAGAAGAGTGGCTGTTTGACCTGAGCTGATGACACTGCTGTAGTGTATAATTAATTAATTAATTAATTAATAAGAAATAATCACAACAAATGCTCTTCAAATACACTGCTTGCTTTTTAACACTGTCATCTGGAATTTATCCTAGAACCGGCATCAGAACCTTGCTTGCTGTAAATCCCAATCTCTTCTGATCCCACCCACCCCCCGTTACCATGCCTGGGTATAGCCCTGAACAGGGACGGGGGGTGGCGCTGTGGTCTAAACCACTGAGCCTCTTGGGCTTGCCAATCAGAAGGTCGGTGGTTTGAATCTCCACGACGGGGTGAGCTCCCATTGCTCTGTCCCAGCCCCGGCCAACCTAGCAGTTCAAAAGCATGCCAGTGCAAGTAGATAAATAGGCACAGCTGTGGCAGGAAGGTAAACGGCGTTTCCGTGCGCTCTGGTTTCCGTCACGGTGTCCTGTTGCACCAGAAGTGGTTTAGTCATGCTGGCCACATGACCTGGAAAGCTGTCTGTGGACAAACGCCGGCTCCGTCGGCCAGAAAGTGAGATGAGCGCCGCAACCCCATAGTCGCCTTTGACTGGACTTAACCATCCAGTGGTCCTTTACCATTACAGTGGTACCACGGGTTAAGTACTTAATTCGTTCTGGAGGTCCGTTCTTAACCTCAAACTGTTCTTAACCTGAAGCACTACTTTAGCTAATGGGGCCTCCTGCTGCCGCCGCTCCGCCAGAACACAATTTCTGTTCTTATCCTGAAGCAAAGTTCCTAACGTGAAGCGCTATTTCTGGGTTAGCGGAGTCTGTAACCTGAAGCGTATGTAACCTGAAGCATATGTAACCCGTGGTACCACTGTACCACTGTGACACAAAGTGTGTGCAAAGGTGACACATGTTTGTTCTCTCTTTTGCAGTTGGGGCAATCTTCCTACAACGTACCAAACCCAGGAAAACCACTTCTGCATATAACATAGCAGCTAAGTAAAGGTAAAGGTACCCCTGCCCGTACGAGCCAGTCTTGACAGACTCTAGGGTTGTGCGCTCATCTCAATCTAGAGGCCGGGAGCCAGCGCTGTCCGCAGACACTTCCAGGTCACGTGGCCAGCGTGACGAAGCTGCTCTGGCGAACCGGCACCAGAGCAGCACACGGAACGCCGTTTACCTTCCCG